TATTGACACCTTACAAGGCAATCGGCCGGTCCGTCCTTAACTACGCCGCAGCAGCACGGTCGCCTGTTTGCAGTGCAATGCTGGCGAGGAAGTTCCAGACTTGTCAAAACACTACACTTCGGACTACGACAGGTTGCCTCTTGATGACTTCTAGAGAACACTTGCATAGTGAGGGCCGTATGCTCCCAGTTAAGAAGTATAATGAACCAGGCGGTTTCTGCAAGGATGCTTTCGCCTAAATAATCCCTGTAGTCAACTGCTTGGAGCGAAATCGCCAGTGAATGGCGTACTTGGAGTCAAACAAAATGCGGAAAAAGTGCTCGAGTTGCAGCGAGAAACGAGTGTGTCTTGCGCAGCTCGCTCTAGGCCCCGAAATATCTAATTTATGTCCTGCGTGCAATGCATCATCGACGAAGCCGCACAATTATTGGGTCTACCGTTGGATGACGTCGACGGCAACAACGGGAATTAGGTAACCGTTACCATGTGTGCTTTAAAAGCTACCTACACAAATATCTATAGTCTATAGAAGACTATGTCTATAGAAGACTATGAACACGTACTCTACCATTGCCCTCGGTTTTCAAGTATTAGGAAAATGCTGAAAACCATACGTACTCTGACGTATTCTTAAGATTGACAGTTTTCTATTAAATTTTTCTCCAAGTTGCAATATGTGCAGACTGGCTGTCGGGTATTTTCCAAAACAAAAAAAAAAAAAAACAATAAAAAAACGCACATACATTTACTATATACATATGTACATGCACATGAGAACGAACGACCTACTTACCTATTAAAGAAAGGCAGATTTTTATTTATAGAAATTTTGCTGATTTTTAAATGTTTATTTAATTTTTATGACACATTTTTTTTTTTATAGGAAATTTAATACAGCCCTGTGACAGTAATGTAGCCTCATAATAGTATTTTTAGGTTAACATCTGTTTAAATGAAATTTGCGCTTGTTGTTTCAGCGGCATAAATTAATCGCATAAAAAAAGCTCGTGTCGTTTGGTGGAGAGAAATGTTAAAAAAATATTAGATTGTCAAATATCTCACTTCCGCTTTTTTGCTCTTTACTCAATGCTTTATAAAATATGTTACAGTGATCGGATTTAGTTCTAATATGCGCCGTTTCGTTCGATAATCTGTTTCCATCTAGACGGAAACTTCATAACACTAACATCGAAGAGCCCCCTACTTACATATTTGCAAAGAACTCGGACAGCCACTTTTCACAAGCCTCTTTTGAGTTCAACTTTACACAAACAAAGGCGTTCGTCATGGACAGTAATAGGTGGTAATCATTTGGCGCAATGCATGGGCTATATGGTGGATGCGATAAAACCTCCCATCCGAGCTCTAGTAGCTTCTGGCGTTGTCCTGGTGGAACATTACATCCTTCCTGTTGGCCAATACTGGATGCTTCTGGTAAATCGCCTGCGACAAGCGGTCCAGTTGTTCGCAGTAGATGATAGAATTAAGCGTCTGCCCATATGGGAGCAGTTCATAGTGGATGATTCCCTTCCAATCCCACCAAATACAAAGCAAAATCTCCCTGGCCTTCAATCCCGGCTTGACCACTGTTTGGGACGATTCACCGGCTTTTGACCACGATCGTTTTCGCTTGATACTGTCGTTTGTGATCCATTTTTCGTCGCCAGTCAGCATCCGCTTCAAAAATGTGTCGAATTCGTTCCATTTCAGCAGCATATCGCAGGCGTTGATTCGGGCCATAATGGTTTTTGCGTCAAATCATGCAGCAACCAAACATCAACCTTTTTTGTGTATCCAGCCTTCTGCAGCTGGTTTAAAATCGTTTGGTGACTAACTCCCATCTTCTGGGGGATGTCACGAGATGCCAGCTACCGATCTAACTCAATGTTTTCCATGATATGTTAGGTATTCATCGTCACAGGTCTTTCGCCAGCTGCCTAATCCATGGTGTCGTTTTCACTCGCTCTGAATCGTCGAAACCACTCCTCCGCAGTTCGAAGTCATAGAGTACCATCCCCCAAAACTCCATTCATCTCACGGATCGTTTCTGTAACGAATTTCCCTTTAACGAAGGAAAACTTTAAAATATCGCGTATATCGGCGTAAGTGAACTCCATTTTTACACGTCTATAACTGTTGAATGCAGTATCCAAACTTGTAATGCAAAGCGTCGTTTTGTAGGTTATGTCAGGACCTTTCAAAAATGCATAGTTTTGCCAGATACGAGCTCTGTAGCACTTTATAGATAGCCGCGAAATTCAAAAGATAAAAAGGCGGAAGGGATATTAGAGATATTTAATAACCTATTATTAAGTGTGTCACAAAGGCGAGTCCTCTAGATTTTGAGACATCGGTCTGTTCTTTTCCCGCAAAGGAACTGCTCATTTGTCGGAACCGTCTGAGTCCAGTCTGCTATGATAAACTTTTTTATGTGGAGAATTATTTATGAGGCAATGTGACACGGTCTATAGTTTGAGGCAATGATACAACCGCTTGAACAAATTATTCAGATCGGACCACAACAGCATATACCTGCCATATAAACTGAACTATCAAAAAAAATCTATCATAGACGATTTTTTAAGAATGTTTATATTGAATTTCGTGGCTAGAAAAACAATTTAGTCAGACTGCTAGTGGCTGGTTTGTTGCTATTAGAAATGCTGCTGAGAAAGGTATATAGCTTCTGCCCAGCTGTAGTTGACGTTTTTTCTTTATTTAGTATGTTAGTTTATTCAATTTACTTAAATGCATACGTTACTTATACGCCGTGTAGATTTTTTCTGTTACAACAGATAATAATTTTTAAAGCAAATGTAAATAAGTTAGAAACCGTATAACCTCATTTATTGGCTAATACTGTTATAAACTTTCAGTAGTTACGTGAATCAGTTATTTAAACTGTAAGATTATTCCAGAGCTCAAAAAAGTCCTAAATTTGCCAATATATTCTGGCAGTTTTGAACAAAAAAAAAAAAAAACAGAAATTACTATTAAAATTGTTCGTTGAGAGAGAACTTTACTTCGCAACTGCCTACTTAGTCCAAAGAAGCACCTGTTGGCAAGATTTATTCGCGTTGGATTTCGAGGCATTGTTGTTGCTGTTAATTCCTGGTTCCAAGATGAACGAAATTATCAACAACTACAAAGTTATGACTATCAACCGTGACGTGGGAGCCAAGCCCAAAACCTCAGTCGGAGAGCTTCTCCCGATCCTGACAGAGCTTTTGGTATTACTCAACGTCAGTTTACACAGCGGCATAAAAGCAGCTCTTCTATCAGGATCGCCCCATGTCGTTCTTCTTTTCATGGGTCTTTTCCAAGATTTGACGCATGGTGAATGTCTGGTGAGTTGTTCATTTTTCAAGCCTAAAGCCACACTGATAATGTCCAATCAGTTTTTTGACGGTGGGCTTTAAGTTTTAATCTACGCTCGATAGAATCTTATTTGCGATATTAAAGAAACTGAAATTCCAATCGTCGGAGTTGCTTTCATCTGACGGGTAATTGCTATTCGAACTTCTTCACGGTCGAGCAATGGCACGTGTGCTACATCTTCCTCGATTGGGAAATCGGATTCATCATATTCTGGTGTTATGCTTTTGCTGGAATTCAGCAGGCTGGAGAAGTGTTCCCTCCCTAATATGGACATTAGTCACTAGATCCCCTGTTAGGGTTCTACGATGTTTTACACCATGAAATTGCAGTAAAAAACGAAATTATTTTGTGAACGTTACGTCATAAACTCAAGCAAAGGAATTGTCAGATATTCTTGACGTTTTTCGAACCTTTGAGTCGTTTGCTTGCTCTTAGCGGAAATATTTAATATAAAAAGCAAACAGTATTCAATAAGAGATTTTAATTTTTATTAATTACTTATAACCTGAGCTTTCATTGGTTTTCTTTTCTTTAAAACCCATAAATAAGTGATAATAAAAACTCATTTAGAGCAAGAGAAAGAGACAGTGTAACCACAGTATGACAGTGTTAACTTTTTCAGGAATAAATCCGGAGTTTACTTTCTTGAGTTATTGGAAGCTGGAAATAAATTAACGGCTTTATCAAAAATTCAGTGGTCGCGTAACATTAAAGTAAACATACCGAATCGGTAGCTTGGTAAATCATGCTAAAAAGGACTTGAGTACTTAAATTCCAACTCAAGCCCAAAGGATGCCTTATCGACCAAAGGAGAACAATTTGCGGGTCTAAACTATTATTTTGTCGACTTATTATTATCTAATAATTATTTTTTTTATATCAGAGACTGGTGGCTTTCAGGCTGTTAAGGCTTAAGGCCGTCAAGGAATATGAAAATGAAAATGCTCATACTACTACCACAGATTCAAATGTGTTTCCCATGCAATCATGTGACTTAGAGTTACCCTGTTTGCTACCACGTGTTGTGTAGTAAAAAAAAAAGGACTAATTACACAAGTGGTGATAACCGGCTCATTCAACATTTGCAGCAATAAGCGGCAATCAACAGTTAGCGCGCGTCCAACAAATTTAGTATTTCGAGCGCGATAATGTTAATAAAACGGCGCTTCCTAACACCTCCCAATGACGTCATTGACACCGTCAATATGAGCGCGCGCACGTGTTTGTGTGAGCGATGCTGGTATAATATGGTGAGCCAGCAGATAAGCGCGCATCCAACAGCAACTACAAGTATGTAAGGAAAGAATTTGCAACTGTATGGAGCAATGCAGAGAGCGCTAAAACAACGGCATCAAGCTGATAATTGCCGACGCGTATACTTTCAGCTGTCGGTTTTGAAGTGCGCGTTGTGGGTTTTTGCACTCCATAGTGGCGGGCGCGCAGCGCGCTATCGTCGCGTGAGTATTTTGCAGCGCAATTCTATTAGTTTTCAGTTCGAACGCACACTAACACACGGTCGCCGTGATGTTGGCAAAGCGCTGTAGGCTGGTAAACTGTGTGTAGACGCTGCGAGCCACGCTGAAATGACTTTATACGGCCGCCGTCGCACAGCGTTCGCGGTGTGTTGGGTTTAACTCTTAACGGTGTTGCTGCGCGCACGCAGTTTCATTGTGGCGCTGACCGGTGGCGTGTACTCAAGTCTGTGGCGCTTCGTGTTGGCTGTTTGTGTATCGCGTGCTGCAGTGGATCGCACACGCGCGCTCGACTCATTGTGGTCCGGTATTCAATGTACTAAACTTGCAAATTTTGTGTGAACGCTCTGTGTATAGTGTAGTGATTTTTGTTCGAAAGAAACTAAAAAAAAAATTTTTAATATATAAAATATAAAAGAAATGTTGTAAACCTATTTCACAGTTATGTTGCATCATTAACGTTTAGTGCCATTAAAATCGTATAAAATTTGAATTTTTCTTTTATATTTTGTTTGCAAAATTATTCGTTGTTAGCAAAAGTGGTTGGACAAGTTTTGTATTTGCGAAAGTGCGTTTGCTGATTTGTCAGTGAAAAATAATTAATTAATTTTTTTTTTCATGTGCATTAATTTATTTTGAGGAAGCATTTACGTGTCGCAAAACAAAAAATCAAAAAACGCGTTTAGCACTGACTCCAAAAAAACAAAAA